TATTTATAATAAATTTAAAATAAAATTTATATATTTAAAATCACTTATTTATACAAATTTAAATCATTCTCTATATATAAATTTCGATATGAATCTCGTGCGAGAACATTTTTAGGAGCTTCTTTGATGAGAATATTTTTATATGTATTTCTATATTAAAAGATTTTTTAGGATTTTTTTAACTTCTTATTTAGGGATGACAATAGGGCCCCATGGGGCGGGTAATAGTAAACCTGTGCCCGCCCTGCTAGATAAAAATTGACCCCATACTCACCCCATATCCGCGCGGGTATCCATGAATTTCTTCAATACCCACGGATATCCATGGATATTTATAAATTTTTTAAGAAATTAAAAAAATTATGTTGCAAATAATTTTAAGTTTATATTTAATGTCATTGAAATATTAAAAAAATTCAATTTTAACCACTTGTGAAAGTGGTCTTTCAGAGAATTCACCCAAAGAATTGATATTTCGAAAGTAATTTATGTTTGAAAACAATGATTTTTTAATAGTATAACAATGATTTAGAGTTTTTTTTTTTAATTTAAGCTGCGTGTATTTTTAGTTTCTAATTATTTAAAGTTAATTAAGCCTTTATTTTTTAAAATCAAATATATATATATATATATATATATATATATATATATATATATATACGATCAATTTCTCTTTTTATTTTAAACTTTGGTAAATTTAAATCATATCTGTTTTATTCGGAATCCATCAAACAAATTACAAATCATTTGATTTCATCTAAAACTTGTGGACTATTGTAATCTTAATTTTGAGTGATTTTAATTAATTTTGTTGACTTAATTATAATGCTAGATGCATTAAGTTTGTCTAAGTGAAACTAAAAGATGTTAACTTTGAATTTTGTTCATGAAAAAACAATTTAAAAAAATTATTAAAGATGATTAGGCAGATTTTCTTTTTCTTTTTTGACATAGATTCATCATTTGTTATATCTTTATCCAAGGCTATCAAATTAGTTCCTAATCTTGTGGAGGTGGTTTTCCCTTGTGTTAGGCAGAGGTATTTCCTTGATCTCTAGAGGGAGTTGTTAGCATTTTGAGCCTCTAACCATTTGAGGCTACAGTTATTATGTTGGATATATAGTCTAGCTTAGAATCATTTATAAATTAAGATGGTATATAATCGATATTATTCGGGAGGAATAAAAATCTTCTGTCTTTTATTCTGTCTCTAATTTTTGTTTCTCCTATCCCCAAAAAGTTAAATAATTTAGATTGCTTAGTCACATTAGTTTATATTTAAAATAAAATTAATAGAATTTGTTAGTTTACATCTTTAGTTCACTTACATTTTGTTCACCTATTTGTTTCTATCACACACATTTTTGTATTTCAATACATATTTCTTCTCTCATTCATCTCCATTGTAAAATTTTCTCAAACCAACTAGATTATTAAACCCAAGTAACCACTTCTATGAATACAAATATCTAAATTTGCATATGTTACACAAGAACAAACTAACAAACTTTGTTAATTTTTGTTTTAAATATAAATTAAAGTGATGTGACATATGATTTTAAATGATTTGAAAAATAAGAATCAGAAACATGATGACAGGAAAGAGAAATTTTATTCACCAAGATAAAAATTCTTTATCCTCCATCCTGTCTCCAATTTTTGTACCTCCAATTAATCATCAAAAGTCACATCATTTAGATTTCCTAGTCACAATAGTTTATATTTAAAATAAAATTAACGGAGTTTGTTAGTTCTCATGTCTAGTTCACTTACATATTGTTCAAGTATTCGTTTCTCTCGCACATGTTCTTATGCTCTAATAATACATATTCCTTCTCTCATTTATCTCCATTGAAAAAATTTCTCAAGTCAACCAAATTATTAAACCAAAGTAACCACTTCCATGACTACATATAACTAAATTTGTATATGTTACACAAGAACAAACTAACAAATTCCATTAATTTTGTTTTAAATATAAATTAAAGTGATGTGACATATGACTTTCAATGATTGAAGGGATAGGAATTAGAGATTCGATGAGAGGATAGAGGAATTTTATCCACCAAGGATAAAAATCCTTTGTCCCCAATCTTGCCTCTAATTTTTGTTCCCCCGAATCACCAAAAGCCACATCATTTAGATTGCTTAATCACATTAGTTTATATTTAAAATAAAATTAATTTACGTTTAGTTCACTTCATTTTATTCACATATTCGTTTCTCTCACACATGTTCTTGTGTTCCAATACATATATTCCTTATCTCATTTATCTTTATTGAAAAATCTCCTCAATTCAACTTGATTATTAAACCCAAATAACTACTTCCATGGCTACATATATCTAAATTTGCATACGTTACACAAGAACCAACTAACAAACTTCGTTAATTTTGATTTAATATAAATTAAAGTGATGTGGCATATGATTTTTAGTGATTAGAGGTATAGGAATCAAGGACACGATGAGGGGGACAAAGAATTTTTATCCCTAGCTCAATATAAGATTGGTCAACAAACCTTGGAGGTATACCAAATTCGTATCTCAGTCAAAGAACATGGAAAGATACAAATTCTCCAACTTCAAACCAAAGGTAATGAATCTAAACTTCATTTCAAGAATCGCATAGGTTATAGTAAAAAAAATGCTACAAGAAAATCATGTGTGCTAATTAAAAACAACAAAATATACGGTCACTAACTGCAAAAAAAAAAAAATGGCTATTTTCACAACTTATTCAAACATGTGCTATAAGATTTGCTGAGTTCTGCCCCACTAAGTTTGTTTTACAATAGAAGAGAGGTGAAAAATAGTTTTACAATATGTGCTTAACATACATTTTCCCCCAAAAAATACTAAAAAAACCAATCATGGAAATGGTGAAATGAAAATAAGATAAATAATCTAGCATAAAGTAAAAAAAAAAAAAAAAAAAAAAAAAAAT